GAAAAAAACAAGAAGAAATCTTTAAATTGGCCCATTACCTTCGGTGAAAGAAGATAATGCTGATTAGATCAGCATTTTCCAGTCAGCAAGTCTGTCAGTTCGGTAGTAAAAGTGGTCTGTCATTCCTGACCTGTCTGGACAAATTGTGTTAAACCCCAAGACTTCACCTTTGAGCCTGTAAATTTAAAACAAACACCTTGGAAGGTGATGTGTCTGTAATTACTTTTATTTATTTATTTTTTTTACCTTTTACCTCTTTGTGCATTCTTTCTAGCATTTGCATGACTGTCTGAGTAAGACTCAGTCACTCATCATCTATTAGCAAATAAATGGATTCCTTAAACCGTTTTGATGTTTTGATATCAAAACAGTTTAATAGAGCAGCTGTGTGCAGTCAATATCTTGCAGTAGGTAAGTTTTTTTTTGTTTTTTTTTAAATTTCAGTGGAATCTTGAAGCAACCAAAAGTAGGGGTTTTGTCACTTTCTGTGTTACAGGAACTCTCTAAGTTACTTCCCTGGCTGAGATTCAGTAACTCAAAGTTTCACTTCTCTCCATCAGTTATGCTTTTGAAGTCTGTGACTCTTCTTTAGACATCATCATGTTGTTGCATTGACATATTTTGAGTCCAAGTCATTTATGCTGAAATGAAATTACACAGAAGTGGACTTCTTTTTGCAGTCTGCACTTGCTTTTATTTTGGAGTAGAAGAAAAATTAATGAAATTGTACTGCTTGATTTTTTTATTTTTTATTTTGTTAAACTTGTGTATCATTTCCTTCTGCTTCACAATTATGTATCATTTAGGTCAAATAAAATCCCATGAAGTTGTTTAAATTCACCACTTTCTCCAATCTCCCACAATAGAGTTCACTTAAGAGGCAAAGTTGTTTTAATTAAGTTTTATTTGATTATGCCATCAGTCTTTACAGTCATCAAAAGTTGGGAAAACAGCAGGAAATTGAAAGTAAAGAAGTGAAAGTAAAAACTGATAATAAGGCAATTTGTTTTTCTAATTTTCAGGTGCTTGATGAGTAGGTGGTATGTCGTTATCAGCGGCTTTCTGAAACCTCTCCCACAACGAACTTCTTATTTTAGAGGCCCACTCAACATAGCCTCCAGCCACTGGTTGGATGTGGTCTTCATAATAAGCGCTAGCGAAGCCAAGCACGGTCTCTCCAATGGACTGGATTTTAGCTTTGGCTTGCCTGTACACAGATCAAAATTTAAATTTTTAAATGCACACAGAAATATAACAATAACGATTATTTAATTCTTTGTCAAAATTTAGCAAGAACCCCAAAGTATTAGTTTTTTTTTTTTTTTTCTCAAACACTTCTTCCATTTTTTTTTTCTATTTTAATCACACTCAGATAAAGAAATTGATACTGGACAAAGATGATTGAGTGAATATTAAAGACTACTTAAGTAAAAATTGAATTTATGCAAAGACAAAATCATTGCAAGCAACTTGGTTCTATGTAACACCCGCCACCCATTCTTAAATATAAGTCAGCTGTGATTAACTGGAGTTTTTGAGATCCTAGTTCAACTTCACCAGGCGCTTTTAGGCCTGATTACTATCAAACTTGTAGAATCAGAAAACCTCTTAACTACAACCTTGTATTTTTTACATCTTGATAAGTAGTGAGCAAGATCTAAAAAAACTCACTTCAAAAACAAACATACAGGAGAAAATAAAGCCACTGATTCTATCAATCCAGAAAGGGTGTCAAAGGGAGGGTCTTTATCCAGAAATAAAGGGGAAAAATCTTCTGAGGAGTGGGCAGCCCACCAAGATCACTCGAAGAGCACAAATAAGATTGATAAATGACTAAGGACACCACTATATCTGCCTCTATATGGCAACAGCAACAAAACAAAATTAACCCTTGGGATTGGCCTAGTCAAAGTCCAGAATTAAAGCCACCCATTTTTCAAAACTCTCCTCAATTAAAACACATTTTCAAAGATCGATAAGCCAAATATTCTTCCACTGTAACCTAAAAGGCTCGTGCTAGTGATCAGAAATTCTTGAAGGCAGTTTTTCAGGTCAAGGGTTATATAACCAGTTATTAGGTTTTAGATTTACTTTTCCACAATTGGCCCATTTTTGATTTGATTATTTTTACTTACTAAATTAATTTGTCATTTAAAATCTTTTTTTTTTGTTTCTGTGTGTGTGTGGGTGGGGGTGGGTGTGTGTGTGTGTGTGTACTTAGGTTATTCTGGTGTGATTTGTAAAATTAGTATATGGATCTGAAACATTTAAGAGTCACAAAAGAAGAAGAAATCTGTAACGAAATATATGATCTTTTCAAGCTACTGTGATTTCAACTGAACCACTCAAAAATAGGATTTATATTCTTCTGTGAGTTAAGTGCTCCAGGTTTCCTCCACAAATTAAAACAAGCAAAATCATCAATAAATCACCCAGCTCTGTCTGCCAGCCTCTCCAGTATTCCTCTGGAGTCTGGTTGCTCAGGGGCAGCTGTCTGTGCCGAAGTCGGGTTCCATGCTGCAGGTAAACAAAGTCAAGTGAAGTAAATCAACTCAAACTCAATGCCATAAATGAAAAACATTGATAATGAGAATTTTGTGTGATTTATTTTTTAAGTTGTACCTTGCAGGAGAAACAAGAGAAGAAAGCTTGTCTGAAGTCGCAAGTGCTGAAAGAAAAGGAGAAACACGTCCAGCGGTCAGTTTGTCTTCTGCTAAAACCATCAGAACGTCACAGTAACTTTTACTGACTGATTCAACAACAAAAGAAGTTTTTACATCTCAAGTTTTTACATTACTACGAACACAATTACAAAAAAAGAAGCAGTTTTTTACCATTTTTCCTGTCTTTCATCAACAGAAATTAAGCGAGTCAAATCTTATCAGGCTGCTGTATTTGATTTAGGTTGGTGCAAGAGTGCGAACATTGGTCCTTACCGCAAGATCATTGATCCTGCGCTTGTTTTCCTTTTTTTCTCTGCTTCAATATTTTATTGCCAAATCGGAGAGTGACAACAAGTAAAACCCACTCGCTGAACCTGTTCCAGTGAGTGGGCTTATTTTTCCAATCTGACTCCTACTGTTTGTTCCCTCATAAAAGCAAAGACTACAAACACGTGCAATGCAAAGACATTTGAAGTAGCTGCCAATTCTGGGGATTTAAAAAGCTTAAAACTCAAAATACTTTTGGAGCCGTCTAGTTTAATCTTTCAAGTATCACATTTTGTGTTAATTTAGTGTAGTTATATTACATTGCAGATTGTTGTGTCAGCAAAGATTTGCAAAATGCTTCTTTTGTAAAATCACGGGTTCTGAACTGCTGCCATCTTCTTTAGGGCCTGCGTTAGCTGTCGATGCGCCCTTTGGCTTGCATATCTCACCCCATTTGGCGAGTGCTGAAATGTGTACAAACCAGGCAAAGTCTCCAAAGAAGAGATACGTGTTTTAGTTAAGACGGGTACAAAAAGATCTTTAAGGGGTCAGAGTCCACCTCATATTGATTTGAGTTTTTGGTAGATACATGGGCTTTTCACCTCACTTGTTCTAAATGGAAGCAACTCTTCCTGAAATGTTATTTTCTAGTAGACCAGAATACTTAAAAATCTGGTTTCTCAGCCATCTAGCACAATTAAGAATTTTGAACCCTTTCACCTGGGACTCCATCATTAGGCCCAGCATCCCTTCAGATCAGGGAAGAGAGATGCTGGATAGAACTGGAAATTTTCAAACAAAAACCTTCAACGACGCAACAATAAAATCCCAAACATGTCACTTAAAAGCTTTTTCACCAAGCTGACTTAGCGACCTTAAAGAAACCGCAGTTGTGGAGGTCGGCGCCATGTGACAGAAACCTGTGGCCTTTGTGTAGAAGCGGCTGACCTCTGCCACTGTTTTCTTCAGCGAAAAAGATTTCATTGAACCTGGATAGCTGGTGAATTATTAACACATCATAAACAGTGACTTTATACCAGGGGCATTATGAAATGCCCAAAAAGCTACCATGTTGGCGTTTGCCCTTTGGTCCTGACAACCGACAGAAATAAACCGTTATCTATTAGATATGTTTGATATGAGAGGTGCTCAATATGGCAGTATGTTGTGCATTATTTATTGCTAGATTTGAAGCACAGAGGGGACCATCTTGGTGGTACATATTTTCAATTAAATTTAGACTTACACTTATAGCTGCAGCACACAGCTAGGCCTTAGTCTGAACCAGTGGCTTTCAGTCTTAAGGATCCAGTGGGTTTTGAGTATCTTTGTTCTCCAGCACACATGATTAAAATAACCTTCTCAGCATGCCATTAAGTACTGCATTAGTTTGCAGCAAGGAAACACCTGAAACATGCAGGACAGTGAATTTTGGTCTAAACTATTCAGTTGTAGCTTTGGCTGTATGATGAGGGTAGTTGCTGGAAGGCGACTCCTCCACCCAACCTGCTCCCCGATCCATCTGCCCATGATCTTTGAGTATGTTGCTGTCCTGCTGAAAAAATGCATTTCGTGGTGGGGATGATATACTCTGTATCGTTTTGCATGTAGTTGAAAAAAATGTAATCTGAATTTGCTTTTTTTCCAGTGGCCAATGGCAAAATGCAAATGGACATCAGAATGTCAGAATTAGAATATGGCTTTCTTTCACAAATTCAGAAACGCTGTCGTTCCTCCGGAGAATTCACACTGAGTGATTATCAACAAAATCTTCAGCTCTGAGAGAAAATATTTGGTCACTGTCTCTTATCATCCTATTAAGTGTTTTTTTATATATATATTTGTGTCCTTCTCTTCTTAAAACTACGTTTTTTAAAAACTAAATTCTTTAAATGTCTCCTTTCTTATTTATATTTCATTGCAGCAGTGCAGAAGCAACCAATCTGCTTATTTTAGTTCAAAGTGTCATTTGTCTGCTGACATTATCTGAACTTTTGTTATCAGCTCAGTTTGTTCTGTTTGCACTTGATCATTCAGTTAAATCTGAAGAAACAAAATCCACAAGGGGCCTTGTTGTTTTAGAAGTTCTCACTTTATTTGTACAGAAATATAATGATATAACAGAACATTTTATTCCATTCCATGTGTTTTATTGCACTTTTACACAGTTTTCCCAAAAAAAAGATCACAGACTAAAAATTGGCAGAAATAGGTTAGTTTCATCCATTTTGTTGAGCATCGTGACTTCAGCCTTGAGATGGTGTAGAAGCAAGTCATCTGTCAGTGTGGGCGTCGGGAACAGAGGGCAGGTCATTGACTGGCCATTTCATTTACCTTGTTCTGAAGCGCACGGAACTTCTCTGAGAACCAATTCCTGTGAAGGTTCAAAATGAAATTTGAGTCGTCCACTTAAAAAGAAAGAACTTACACGCATTTTATGTGTATCGGTCTACCTGGTGTTCTCTGCAAATTCACTGGTCGCAATGGTGTCAAAATGCGTCTTGGCTTTTTCAGCTACATTCTTGCCGAACTCTGTGATCTGATCCCCAAAGTTTGAGAACTTTTCTGCAAGTGAGTCATCCTGAGCCTCTGAAAGGCAGTGAAAACAACAATGACAATGAGAATCTTCATACAAGATGATAGCAGAAAGAAACATGCAAGACTTTTCTGAATGAAAACATTTAGAAGCACCTGTGTATGCGACAAGAGCCAGCAACAGCACGGCAGCTGCAAGATACAGTCTCATCTTGACTTCTTTTCCTAAGGATAGAAAGCAGAGAAATGCTATGAATTTGCATTAAATTGCAAGCACAGATGTTCTTTGAAAAACATTGAAATAGATTGTTTTTCTCCAGCAATCACATTATTTAATACACAATTAAAGTTTAGCTTTCAAAGAAGTGCAGAACTTTCCAAAAAATAAAAGGTTCATTATTTATTTTTTTTTCCTTACCTTCTTATTTACTTATTGTTTTTCAGCACAAAGTTACAAAAACGTAATTTTTTAAGTGATAAAGTGTAAAGCATACCTCTTTTCTGTCTCTGCGCAGAAAAAAAAAATGGTGTGTCTTGGATGGTCAGAGTGTCCCTGCTTTTTATAAGCCTTCCCCGTTTCAGGAGTGTTATGCAAAACACCAGATTTAGGTCAACACGTAGACGCGATGGCCTTGAAGAATCCCTGCCCATTTCATTGATCTGCACTCATATAACTGCATTAAAAAAGCTCACAGGCGAAACAGGCCTACTGTAAATAAAATGTTGCACAACTGGCGCATTTTGTTGAAATGGTGAGCTTAATTCACAAATAATGTCTTGTGATTACAGGGAAAACTAGAAGAAAAGGGAGTGAAATTTTCATCTGATCCATCAGCAAAAACATGGTTTGAACAGATAAGCAGGGAGGTGATGTAGACGGACAGAGTTCACTGCTGACAGAAAAACAGACATGAGCTATGTGTAAGCTACTTTGGACCTGGATAGTTGCCCACAGTTAACTCTGTGTCAAAAAAAAACTCCACGTAATAACTTGACAAGAGTGTGTTGAAAGGCAACTGGACTTTAATAGTTTTTTTGTCTTATATTACAAGATGTCACTGTTTGTGTCTTTTATGCACCCATGCTGACTCTAAGAGTGATTCTTTTTAATATCAGAGATTGTTTAAATACACAGCTCAATTTAAGAAGACATGGGTCCCTGTGATAGAGCTAACCTTGGTGCTCTACACAGAAATGTTTGTTTTACACATGCAGATTGCAATCAACTCAAAGTTAAGTATAAACTCAGAGGTTCTAAGGCGATGTCCAAGTAAAAATAGTTATTTTGAAACTAACCTAGTATTTGTCCTTTTATTACAAACCTCCAAACATCTAGAAAGGCTGGTAGTCATGCAAAAAACGTTGCAGTTGCTGTGGTAGACCTGTGTGTGGTGACATCAGGCAATAAAAACTGAACTGCACCATAAACAAAGGAGACCAGAATTCATTTAGTGCTTGCTTTTGGCGCATCTGGCAATTTTGTGATCAATCGTTAGGCTTCTGTTGGTGAAATTATTCTTTCCAAGTAGCATCTATACAAAAATTCAGCAAATTAAACTGTATCAGATGTACAGATCGCATGGAATAATAATAGTATACAGCTAAATAAAATTACTTGTGATGTTTGGGTATTTTCTGTGGCCATTTATCTCCATAATTTATGAAAATGCTTAATTTAGTATATGAAACAAATTTTGTCTCATAGATATGAAGTTGGAAGTGTCTAAATTGTTACGTATATCTATGAAATGGGCTTATAAATATGTGAAGGGGCAAGATGACCCAGAACCCATTTTTTGTTGCTTTATTAGTTTTTCATTTGCCTCTTGAATTAGAAATGTCATTGCAACAGTCTGGTTCGTGCACACCTTCCTTTTTTAAGAAAAAGGAAATGACCAAGACAGAACCACATGCAGCTTAGTCTTCCTGTCAGCTTGTGACGGCAAAGAGACGCACAGTCGACGCACTGCAGTAACCCACAATTAAAGCTTTTTATTATACATGGCGAATCAAATGCACAATCTTGACTTCAGCGACAATGGTCATTCTATTGCTAATCACTGCCACCAGCCAGTCCTTTTGTTATGATGAAAAGCCCACAATTTAGGCTTTGACATTACGATTAGGGTCCTGAAACCCCAAATTCTCGACTTTTGTTCAGAAGAGGCCAATTAGGTGGAAGTATGAATCCTGAGCTTGCGTGCATTCGAGCACCTCTTGAATAATTGTAGGAGGCATCGGGTGTTAAGGAGGATGTCTACTGTGCTTCTAATTTGCAATAATGAGCTTAAGAAAGGCCTGTTTTTGTGTTTTGCCCAGGCCCCCGTGGAGGCCATTGTTGTGTGCCAGCCCTAAAGAGCACTGAAAAACGAAGTGAAGAAAGAGATTTCAAAAGGAGGCAAAAGCACCACGGGGATGTTTTAGGAGAGGTTACTAGCAGTCATGGGCTAGTTACCACCTGCTTTTTTTTTTTTTTTGCTGTTTTCTTTTCCAGATTGTTGCTGGGCAGTTCTCAAAGTGCAGACACCCTATAGGAACAGACTGAGCAGAAGTGCTGAACAAGCAGACTAATTGTGGTTTTCCTGTTTTTTACCTTTCATGAGTAATCCTCAAAACAACTGGCAGCTTACTCTAGGAGTTTCACTCTATCTGCCAGAAAATGAACACAGCTTCCCTAAAGAGAGTGATTTCATGAGTGATAAACAGCTGCTCATTGTGTTAGTCATTCTTTCACTTTGAACAAAGTGCCCCTTCACACAGAAAGAAACTGTAAACATGTTTTTCATGATCTTGTGAAATGATTTTTCTTAGAAAAAAATCCACTTTTTCTAAATCTGCCCACAGTTTGTAGTGTTATATCAGCAGTTCCCCTTATTAATTTTGATACAGTACAAATACAAATTGCTCATGTGTAACAGCACACAGAACCTCTTGGAGTTCTGAACTTCAAAAGTTCTGTGTCCTATTCACAAAAGCATCCTGCAAAAGTATTCTGAACCTTGAAACTTTTCACACTTTGTCAATGTCAATAATATTTCCGGGGAGTATTTTTACCTGATACACAAAAAGCAGTGCATTATTGCAAAGCAGAAGATAACTGGTTTCAAAACTTTTGATAAAAATATAAAAAAATGATAAATCAATTTAGATTTTTTAAGAACAACCTTTTGTTGTAAATAAAAGCAATCTTGCAATCTATGCAGACTGATCCCAGTCATATTGGATACACCATCAATTTTTAGGTCACAGAATCTCAATTGAAATTGGGTCTGACACATTCTAATATCTGGATATGATTTGATCTGAACCATTCCACCTGTCGCTGTCGCTGCCTGTCCCGGGTCACTGTCCATCTGGACAGTGACCCTGTGCCCTGTTTCACGTCTTTCACAACCTCTAACACATATTTTAGTTGCCCTGCATTTAACTCCCTCCATGTCCCCATTATTTCTGACCAGTTTCGATGTCCCTCATAAAGAAAGGAGCCTCTGTCACACTGCCACTAAGATGGTTCACTTTGGAGTGTTTAAGATGATGGTTTTAGTTTTCCTCCACACATCAGATGTTGTGTTTGAACCTAAAGGTTTAAATGTGCCCCTTTTGACCAAAGTACCTCCTTCCCCATGTTTGTTTTAGCTTTTTGCAACATTTCAACAGTCTCACCACTCTTGCACAATAAGCTGGAAATCATGTTGAGAGAGCCTCCAACCTAAACCAGAGACCTCTGGCCCTACTGCAGAGTTATCAATGCTCTGATTTATGATATTCTTGCCTACCTTCTCATTTTAGGTTGAAGGCCAAGTCTTGGTAGGTATGAGGTTGTGCAATTCACTTTCCATTTCGCAATAATGGATTGACTAATTCTATATGAAAGGTTCAAAGTTGATATTTGATATTGCAGAAAGGAATCTGCAATATCCCAAACTATTGGGATATTGTCCAGATTTTTAAAGTGTGTGTAATAGCTGACCTGCAAATAGATTCTTCCACCAGATCTTGTCTTGTGTTGCAGTGGTACCATACTTTTTTGGGTGATAGATGCTCTGTGAGATGTCCAGTGCTTAGGATTATTACTGTTTTACAAATTCCTCAACAACTTTATCCTTGACTTATTTGATATGTTCTTTGGTCTCTGGGGCCTTCACAGAACAGATTTAGGGTGGATTCACACCAGCCGTGTTTAGTCTGCTTTAATTTAACTCCAGTTTGTTTGCCTTGAATTTCTCGTTCATTTGGCGAGGTGTGATTGATCTATCAAACTCAGATGCAGCTCAAAAAAGCTGACTGTGGTATGCCTACCTCTTGGTTGAAGTGATTTGAATGCATGTGAATGCTAAGGGGACCAGAGACCACTTCAAAAGCACTAAGTGGATGAAAGTGGACAGAGTTCTGGGTAAATACAACCAAAACAAGTCTAGCGCACAGGTGTCAAACTCCAGTCCTCAAGGGCCACTGTCCTGCAGTTTTTAGATGTGCCACTGGTACAAAACACTGGAATGATATTCTTCCATTTAATTACCTCCTTCTTGTGTAGATAAGTTCTCCAACGCCTTGCTAATAACCTAATTATTCTATTCCGGTGTGGTGAAGCAGAAGCACATCTAAAAATTGCAGGACAGCGGCTCTTGAGGACTGGAGTTTGAGACCTCTGGTCTAGAGCTGGCAGAAGAAATGGACCATGGTCTTTTACCAACTACAAAAGAGAAATGTTATAATCGCTATTTTCTGACGCTATTTAATATTTTATTTTGCATTTCGTGAAGAAGAAAGTTTAGCTCATTGTCTTCTTCAGAGGTTTTCGTCTCACTACCTTCAGTGGTTCTCGGTACAACGCCGCCACAAGCAAAGGCAGAGGGTTCAGTTCGTTCGACGGTGCAGTGTAAAGGTGAACGGCACCAGCTGAAAATGAAACAAATGTTTTTGGCTCTCAATCTTGTCCTAATAGTTTTCACACTTAATAGTGTACCTGACTATCTGGTGTGAAAACATCCTGGTTATATTACACACAGACAAACTGTTTAGTATTTGAACAACTTTGAAAACAGCTTTGAAAAGGAACTCGTTTTTTTTTTATTTTTTATTATTATTATTTTCTAAGGAGTGTCATAATAAAAGAGTCCAAATATATGCAAAAAAAAATGAAAACTGTCTGCCAGACAATGTAAATTCCCACTCTGGATATTTTAAGGCAATTTGTTGGAACCATGTTTGGAAATTTATGCAAAAGTCAGACACAATGCATTCATTTCAGTCTTGTAAATCAAGTATTTCCCTTTCATGAAGTCTCATTTTCACATTTTTTTTTCATGAGGCATATAGTTTATCTAACTCTCCAACTAAGAAAACACAGCTGCAAGTTTGTGCAGCACGGATCCGTACACAGGGGGGTCAGAGGACGGATGTTGGTCAGTGAAGGGGGTGAATGGTGTCCCCTACTGGCCTCTGCTCTGAACTTCAAAGGAAAAGCCCTGCTGAGTTTGACAGACATAAAGAAGTTCTCAAACTCAGCAGGTTCAAATGCTTATTTTGATGTTATATGCATTCAGCACAGCAGAAACCAATGAAAAGGCTTGAATAT